GAATTTGAAAACAGTGACTGCTACTGTGATGCAAAAACTCTTCTATGACTTGAGCACTCTGAGTCACTGACGTGTTCATTGTAAAATAAATACATAAACATTCACCTTACTCTCTGCCGGGAGCTGATAGCTCAGGGGAAAACTCTCCGATTGATGCCAAATCGGTTTGGTTTCGATCCTGGCTTGAGACAATCAGATGTCTATCCACATTGAGGAGTTGTGATACCGCGAAACAGTCTGTCTGTGGATCGCTCATACACAGACACCATATATATATATATATATATATATATATATATATATATATATATATATATATATATGCGTGTGACAATTGAAAACGTTCATGATAGTAGATTTGCTTGGAAATATATCCGATAATGGATTCGCCATTTAAGGCTTCATCAGATCCAAAAGCAAAACGATTGAAATACTTGTATGTGTTTTTCAGTGTCTGTTTAAAATAATAAAATCTTATTACTTTTTTAGCAAGCTGGCGAAAGAAAAAAGATTGACTTTTAAAAAAAATGTCGTCAACATTTATTTTCTTTACTTTCAATTCGGATCGAAAGATATAATACTTCTGATTGAGTAGAATTTTTTTTTTTTTTTTTTATCCATGGCATTTTCCGTGTCGAGGGTATGTTTTCAATTCGTAAATAATCCCGGCAAAGTTTTATTTATTTTTTATTTTAATTTATGACATCTGGAAACGTTCATAAAAGTAGATTTGTTTAGAAATATGCCCGACAATGTGTTTCACTTTCCAATAGTCAGAAATGAAAAAAAAAGACTTTGTCCGGATTACATATCTTAAAGCTGAAACACACACACACACACACACATATATATATATATATTTGGTTGGGTAGATGTGAGTTTGTGATCCTGGGTTTCAGGCTTTAGCGATCGTCAGACAAACTGATTAATGTTTTAAAAAATTTGGGTTAATGTAGATTGCGTGTATTGGTGTTATTGAATAATAAGTACCGCGCATATAATATATAAATAATTGTACATATATATATTTATTTATATTTATATACACTTTTCACACACACACATATATATATATATATATATATATATATATATATATATATATATATTTTTTCCAAAGTATTAATTATTATTATCCAAATTATTAGTTCCATTTCATTCTCAAGCTATGATTCTCAAGCGAATTTTTAAAATTACTGGGTTTAAAACACAGTAATTTTAAAAGTTACTCCAAATGAATTAAAAAAGTTGCTCCAAATTAATTAAACTAAATTAATTAAACTAAATTAATTAAAAGTTACTCCAAATTAATTAATCTAACTTTTAAAATTACTGGGTTTAAAACCCAGTAATTTTAAAAGTTACTCAAAATTCGCTTGAGAATGAAATGGAACTAATGTCTTTAATTAAATTACAAAATTACATTCGTAGCTTTTAGCTTCCATTTTTGAAACATGGTTAGAACTGTGTAGCGAAAAAAACCATATTTTAAATAAATCAATTTATAATATATATATATATATATATATATATATATAACGTATATATATATATATATATAATATATATATATATATATATATATATATATATATATATGATTCATGTTTCATCAAATAATATAGACAAGTTTTGTCTATTTATCTTAAGCAAGTTCCTTTCATATTGTCTGGTAAGCTTAATAACATTATCATTGAACGACAAAAGGAAATCACTATATTGATGCATGTCTAAATCCAATCTAAGCTTTCATCTTACATAAGCCATTATCAAATATGACAATTACATTTCAATATATCAAACAATACACGGACGAAACAATAATGATAATCTGTTTTAGTTGTATGAAAATTTCAAAGCAACGACAAACTCGTGTATACGAGACTCGGAAGCGAAAATCGCACTGCAGTTCATGACGTCGCACATGACCACGTGAGAGTGAAAACGAGAAGTATTAAGTATGGGAAGCCTTTTGTAATGGCTTCTGTTACCAATTATAGACATTGAAGAATATTTGTGGATATTTCGTAGTTTATTTTATTTAGGTTAGGTTTTAACTGTTTTATGTAAACTGTTTTGCAAATCGCTAACGGGGTGGGGCAAGAATCTTTGCGAATAATTAAGTTGGATATACTAGATTTAGTGTAGTATATGATTAACCTATTTTTTTTTTGCTATGATCTGTTGGAGATATATTAGTATTTACTGATTTTTTTAGTATATTTTCATCTTGTTTATAATTAGTATTTGCCTACGATATAGGAGATTAATATGTTTGAGATTAGTCGAAGCAGTATTATGTTCTATTTGATTAGCATTAAGACTTCTAAGAAAGCATCTTATATGTTTATCAACTATATAGTTTGGAAAGCCGAACTAAATATGCACAATATACATTTTCATTCTTTCATTTTTTGCTTTAATCACGAGAAACGCCAGCTTAGCAAAATGCATATTTTCTATGAAAATTTCTCCGACATTCAGGCCGGTAAATGCTGTTTAATACTATTTTTTATAAACAGAGCATTCACTTAAATATTTGTTATTTGTATCTATAAAAAGAATGTATAAACATAAAATGTTTAAAATAATTGTTGGACTTTTTCCATTTCTTAATGTGTGACATATATATATATATATATATATATATATATATATATATATATATATATATATATATGTATATGACATGTTTTATTGATTAATTTAGTTAAGTTTTGTATATTTATTTTCAGTTCAGATCCTTTCATATTCACGGTCAAACTTTTTGCTGTCATTATTAAAGGAAGAGAGAAATTTACCATGACGGCACATATTAACCCATTACGAGTACTTTCGACATTAGCACAATGTAATCATCAGGGATATTCTTTAACTAAATCAATTCTCAATTTTCCCATTCCTAAATACAAATTTTCTTTTCTTTTGGAATATCCTTTTCTTAAAATCAACGGAGATTTTTCCTTTACTTTATGATACCCATAAAACAACTCACAGAGAAAATCATTTAAATAGTTAGAAATTTTATTTAGTTAAATGTTATTTGGTGGACTCTCCCGTCGCATTCGATGTATGAGGGTCAGTCAGTTCAGTACCTAGGAACCGACAGTCAGAAACCAGCACATATGTGTTGATTATAGTGATGAAGGCTTTGTGCAGAACCAACTGCACATTTTGAAGGGCCAAATATGGAGACCTGGTGTACTACGTGCCACAAGTTCCCCAAACGACCCTCCGCAGGTTGTGAATTCAGAGTTGTCTTTCTCCTAGACCTTTTTCGATCCAAGGCTATAGAATACAGGTTGTCTTTCTATTTACACATAGCTGGAGAAAGAAGAAAAGGATTAATACCTTTCCCAAGTAAATGTTATTTACTTCTTATTAATATTTTAATGATATTTAATAAAGTCTATTAATAAAAAAATATTCTATTTCATCAAAAAAATCGCCGGCGGGTGATAACATTTTTAAGGCAGTGTAATTAAAGTACTCATTATAAAGAGAATAATTAATAGAAATAGATAAAATTAAATGTTCCATTAATCATTTCCGACTCGGTGTTTTTTAATGACGGGAGAAATTCTTCACTGGGTTAGATATTAAGTTATAATTATAATTATAATATATAAGTCTTGTAGAATACATACAAACAATAATGGGTATATCCCCATTAACATAAATACAATAGTAAATACTCTATGTTGGTCTGCAGTTGGAGATTTGTCTCCACCTGGGCCGGTCAAACTCTCTGCCTCCGGGCAGAGGATCCCCACACAAGTCTATGTCGAAGGGTGGAGTCCCGTCTCCAGTAACAGTTACCCGTCGGGGAATATTTGGCCGGATACCCCACATTAAATTCGGCCTAGTGCCACATCTGCCCGCGTGGGGTGGTTGGTAGATATCCTGCAGTTGGAGATTCATTGTGGTATTCACTTGACTCACTTCTAACAGTTGGCTACTTCTTCTACACGCCGCTGGTTAATCTTATATGGGTTGTTCTTGTCCTAAGTATTATTGTTCATTGCCAACATTCGTGTGATTATTCTATTCAGTAGCCTTCCCTAGGTTAAAACATTAAGTAATAATTATAATTAAGTTATAATTATAAATTATTAAAAAAGTATTACTTAAATCTAGAAAGTATAGAATAAAACACTAAAAAATATTTAAATTAAATTGATTTAATTAATGTTTAAGAAGAATGGTTGTATAATTGTGTAAATTATGGACTTTTTAAATCATTATTTCACTTTTAGTTTAAATAAGCTTTAATAAAACAAATCAGAGATTTTTAGGGTGTTTTATATCACACACCACCTCTCCTGGATTATCTCAGACGATATGAGTTCAGGAATTATGGCTCTTTTAAAGAATATCACTTGAATTCTGGGAAAATAAAATAAATAACATGTATAGAAATATTCTAAATGGCTATGAATCAGAAAAGTCAAGTTTTGTCATGTATGGATTTTCTTAAAAAAAACTGACCTTCGTCTTCTTATCCTTCAGATGTCAAATATGTCATTTCTTCCGCGAAGTTGATATAACACATCTTTACGGGCTTGACACATTTTATCAATTTTAAAGAAAGCACTCAAGAAGCAATATCAGAAAGCTTGCAAAGAAAAACGCTAAAGAGCAAACCTTTTTCATTTTTTTCTTTATAACCCCTATCCTCTCTTCCGTCATTGTTCGGCAAAAACAGATGAGAGTGGCGAACGTCAGCACGTCATTCTGCGCTAATATTTGATCCAGCAAAGTAAAATGGTCCGATATTGACACCCTCAAATACAGCACTGCCTCGTCGACGGCCCCTTTTTCTGAGATTATTTTGCGCATTCAGGTATGAAACGAACGTAGTAAACACAGGCCTCCCCACACCCGACAAGAAACACTTAAAAATCACCTCAATCTCCCCCGCTCCGTTGCAAGTCGTTTTACAACAACGCTGGCTACTCTGTCAATGCATTACGATTTTGCTTCAACGTTCATCAGTCCGGATGTCTTCCATGCCTTCTTCTCTCTTCCCTTTTCAAAAAGTTATTCATCCGTTTGATGCTTTTCTCGTGTTCGAGTTTGTGGAATTTGCAAGCATTCTGGCGTATTAAGGGAAATCCCTGTTATCAGCAGGCGTGGTGCGTGTGTTTGATTCTGTGACAGTACAGGTTGAGAGGGTAGGGCAGAGGGATGAGGATGCTAAGCTCTTTGCACGGGACGCAATCCCAACATCTTGATTAATCCTGGTCAGTGTTGTGGGCAAAGTCCAAATGTTAATCACCTCCACTTGCACTTCCGGTCAGCGTTACGCCTCACGTGTCCTCTCACGGACGTTATCCTTTGTGGCACGTATTTCATAATTTCTCTCTTTCTCTTCTTTTCTCTAAACGTTGCGCTATTTCAATCTATCTGCATATCTGTTTCTCTCTCTCTGTCTCTCTGTCTCTCTCTCTCTCTCCGTCTGTTCATCTCTTTTTCTCTTTCTTTCTATAACTACCATTTCTGTTCCTATCTATCCATATTTATCTGTTGTTGTTTTTTTTTCTCACTCTGCTCATATCTACACTGTCTCATGTTTTATAAGAAAGGCAATGCTTTTCTTAAATACCGTTAGTATTAAACAACCAATGTGGGTAAGTTTTTTTAATTAAATTTATATGAGAAAAAAATCTCTTGATGTTCGTCATTATATCTTCTTCCTTTTCTTGTTTTTCTTCTTCCCGCACTTCTATATTCCATGTCCGTTAAGGACGTTGGTGATCATGGGTCTCTCTAATTTCCTGTAATTTGTAGCTTGTAAAACTTTCCTCCACCATCCATTTACTGAAGCTCGCTAGGTAGGATATGCATTGTTTTTCTTTGTCTCACTTGTCTTCAATTTGTCCTGTGGGTATCAAATTTGCCATGCTTCTTGTCATTATTATGCATAGGTATATTTTTTGTTTCAATTTTCTTTAAAACTCCGTCATTTGCAACATGTTCAGTTCAAGGTAATTTCAGCGTCCTTCTGTAGCATCACATGTTTGTTACTGTGAGGAGATTGTCCAGCATTCACTGCCGTATAGGAAGAAATATCTTCCATAATTATTTAATACACTTTTCTTTGTTTCTCGGGAACTGACATGATAATTTAAAAAAAAAAAAATTAGAAGAATAATTTATTCTTTTCTATGGCAGATTTTTTTTCTTGGCTATATCTTCTGCATTTATTTCGAAATAAAGTACGTTAAAGTTTCTTCGGATAATAAAACCTGACATCCCTAAAAGAACTTATGAATATTTAATACGGATTAGCTGCTACAATCTTAACAATATCCTTCATATCTACAAATCAACAATTCGCCCTTGCACGAAGTATTGTTGCAATATGTGACCTGAACCCCTTCTGTTTGTCTCAAAGTCCTTGGTAAAATCCAGAGACGGATATGCAGTGTAATTGGCCCTAATCTGGCATCTCGTCTGCAGTCGCTCTCTCACAGACGCGCCGTCGCCTCTCTCTGTCTTTTTGACAAATACTTTCACGGTAACTGCTCCGATGAGCTGCTTTCGCTGGTTCCCAGACCCTCATTAATTTAAGCGTTCAACTAGGCTGGCATCTAGCTCTCACCCTTTCATTGTCGAAACTGTTAAATATGGCCGTCTTTTCTACTCCAATAGTTTCATCTCGTACTTCTCGCCTGGGGATCCCTCTCCCCTTTCCCTGTTTCTCTGATAGCTATAATCTCCAACTATTACAATGTAATGTCAATGGACGTCTCCAGATGCCTTGATCTATCCCCTATCCTTCTCTTCATGTTTTCCTCTATCATTCTTCTTCGCTCTCGCTCCAACTCTCTGGAACCGCTTGCGTGCTAGTGGCTTCTCGCCTTGCTTGTGGGTGAAAGGCTTAAATAAAAAAATAATAATAATAAGATATGTAGATGACACAGTGTTGGTAGCAGACACAGAGCTCCTACAGAAAGTAGTGATGGGGGGCAAGAAGAAAGGACTAAACATCAATTGCAAGAAAACGGAATACCATGGTTGTTAAGAAGATGAACAACCCAGCATCAAAATTAAAAATTGGAGATATCAAAATCAAAAAAGTGCAAAATTTTAAATAAAAAGGACAATTAATACATATTATTTTAACATAAAAAATGAAAACTTATACTTAGAATCAGGAAGAGACAGTTAAAATTTCTAGGATAGATAATGACGATCGGGAGGTTGGGCGTGCTTGTATAAATGGTTGGCAGAACAGGGACAAGGAAAGGCAGAGAGAGCAAAATGTCAACATCTATTGGAGCTAAAAAGGACAGGAAAATGTGGAGCGCCATGATCTCCCATATTATGAAGGGACACAGCCTTCTACTTTCACTTACTGTTTTTGTTAACTTATCTCCACTTTCGATTTTAACATTGAGTGCAGCAGTTTTTATTGCTTCTTGGAGACACTGTTTGAATATCGATTCACATTCACATACGCAGCTCTTTCAATGATGAACCACGAATTTTCTATTTTCTATTTCTACTAGTGAATAATAGACAAATTTTTCCACAGAAGAATTCAGAGAATACCATTCATGGGATATGGGAGCATTTAAGAAGTTTGAAGATGTTTTAACCTAGGGAAGGTTACTGAATAGAATAATCACACGAAGGTTGGTAATGAAAGGTAATACTTCGGACAGGAACAACATATATAACATTAGCTAGCGGCCTGTAGAAGTAGTAGTCAACTGCTAGAAGTGAGTCAAGTGAATTCCACAATGAATCACCATCGTCAGGACATCTAACAAGAGCCCCACGCGGTCAAATATGGCAGAAGGCAGAATTTAATGCGGAGTATCCGAGCCAGTAGACTCAGCCAAAAATTCCCCGTAAACCCCGTATAAAACGTGGTAGGGTAGCTGTTTCCCGAGCCGAGAACCTGCCATTCAATATAGTCTTGTAGGGGATCCTCTCTGCCCGGAATCAGAGATTTTGACCAGCACAGCTAGAGACGAATCTCCAACTGCAGGATATCTACCAACCGCCCCACGAGGTCAGATGTAGCACAAGGCCGAATTTAATGTGGGGTATCCGAGCCCGAGTAACTGTTTCCCGAAACGAGACTCTGCCCTTCGACACAGACTTGTCTGGGGATCCTCTCTGCTCGGAGGCAGAGAGTTTGTTCAGCACATCTGAAGACGAATCTCCGACTGCAGACCATCATACAGTATTTAATACTGTATTTTTCTGAATGTGAGACATACCCATTTTCGTTCGTAGGTATGCGACAGCAGAAGGAAAATAGAAACAAATATCACACTCGAACTTAGAAATAAATCTTTGCAATTTCTCACACAGATAAAGAGGAAACTAAAGAAATGCTGACGAGGAGAATTTGATACTCACAAGCCATACTAAAGGCAAAAGGTGCAGACGGAAACAACGAGCTTAAATAGAAACTGGTAAGAGATTACTAAAAGGACAAACATTGCTTAGAAATAAATTGTGAAGAGCTACTATCGACATGTACTAAAGAAACACGACACTAACATATACATTTATCTTGGAGTAGGTAGAGACCAATCCGTTAATACGTGGATGTTTTTTTTTCTTCTTTTTGATCATGTGTATAATAGACAGGTTTGCTGAATCCGAAAAAGCATTATCTTCCATGAGTGTACTCTTTAGTTTAAGGGTTCTTATTCGTGACCCGTGGCATCATTAAAAACGTCTATTCCAAGAATATACAAAATCTTATCTCGACCATAATCTACTCTGTAATTACCTATAATTCTACTGTCTAAACTGCTAACAGAAAATACTATTCAGACTCTCCTCACTTGTCTTCTAGTGCCTAACATCTTGCACATGATCAGATCAACATTCTTCACAATGAATTACTGCTTACAAGTCAGTTTTCATGTGCAACTTCGATGTATGATACAGAGTTATCTCTCTTGCTTAAAGTAATTAGTCTTATTACTTTAATGTCTTTATCAAAGGTTCTTAATATTTTATTTTCTTTGTTTTTACTTAAGTTCACTCAATGCAAGATCAACGAGCCACTCATGATAACCAAGTGATATAAACGTAAGAGGATTGGTTTGGTTTAGTTTGTTTTGTTTTAAGGTATATCAACCACAATTGATTATTTAATGCCGACAACCTCTTTTTTCCTGGTAATATTTTCTTCCGTCAAAAATCTATTTCTGGTAATATTTTTTTTCTCAAAAATGTATAACTGATAATATTTTCAAAAACGTATTGCTGGTAATTTTTTTTTCAAAAATTTATTAGTGGTAATAATTTTACAAAGTATTTCTGGTATTAAAACCTATTTTTACACTTTTAGAATGCGTTTTACCTCAGTTTCGGGGTTAACTATTTTCCCATAGCTGGGACCCTAACAGTTGCTACCACCCCGGGTCAGGATGAACCTGGAAACACCAGTAATTAAGAGGTGGTTCCACGCTCCTCAAAGCCTTCTGATCAGAGGCCTTGCTGTTGGACGTAGTTTATCGTCTTACCCTCGACGTGGATGTAGTTTATTGTCATACCCAGGATGGTAAACTTAAGAGGAAGAACAAGAAGTAAAAATTACGAGTTAGAGGCAGATGAAAAACGATTGACGAGTGTTATATTCTTCGATTATCGTGTTCGGAGAAGTATCCACGTGGGAGTCAGTACCACAAATTAGCGGTATTTTGGTAGAGGATTCTTGGCTAGACCATCCTTCTTAGCAAAGGAATGCGTTAAGAATGACGGTGATTCAGCTCTATGGGCGTAGCGTAGCGGATATTGACCTAACTTTCTGAGCTGCTGGCATTAAAGAATGAATTTTGTCTGAACATTTGATAGGTTTGCGTAGTTGGGTCTGTGTTATAACACACTCCTAGCGGTTATAATATGTCTTGCTCAATCGACTCGGCGTGGCATCATCAAGTCTTTCCTCAATTGACTCCAACAGACTGATATTTACCCAGTCTCCACGTGACGTGATGCGACACAAGGTCGAGTTTAGTGTTGGAAACCCGAGCGCGTACACTCGGGCCAGTGGTCAAAATTTACCCAGCCCGCGCAACCGCGGGATCAGGCACTTTGTCTTGTCTATTTTTCTCAGCCGAGTCTTGTTGTCAGACGTAGGATCTTCCAGCAGCCACCCTCTTGACTCTGAGCAGCATGACCGCCTCAAGGCACTTGATGTAGGTCTCCATGTTGAGTCTTAGGCCTCACTAGAAAATTCGGTAGTTCTTTCAGAATGATAAGAGTGAATTTCGAAAGCTGCCATACTTTCATAATCGCCATTAGACTCATCCAACTCTTTCCGAATCTTCTACGCTACCCTCAGATTAACACCCAAACACACTGAAATGTTTGTATTGTAGATTCCGGCGCTAATACCAAACAGTACAGTATGCCATTTCCAAATTTTTGGCGGAGTGAATTGCAAGATGGTGCTCTTTTTCTTACAAACGTTGCCCAACTGACCTAAGACACTGCGCAGTCGCCAAAATCAAAACCAAACAACGCGCATGAGCTAAATTGAAAATATAAAATATCAGTCTCTCTCATTCTATTCCTATCTATCTATCTATCTATCTATCTATCTATCTATCTATTTATTTCAACCCGTTCATGTCTATCTATCTCAGGATCCTCAGCATATTTCTATCTATCTATCTATCTATCTATCTATCTATCTATCTATCTATCTATCTCAGTCAATTCATGTCTATCTCAGGATGGTCACCAGCGACCAATATGAAAGCAATTCTTCTTTGTACATAAAGTCAAATAACACCATTATTTTTCGTATTGAACGCCTAAATAATTTTCATAAGACATCACTTCCTTTCTTATTCTTCACAGATGATCATCACCACACAACATATTGACGGAAGGAATGTAGAACGCAGGGAAGAAATGAATTCGTAGACAGTCGCAGGAAATAAGTTGGATTTATTGAGAGATTATTTTCTGTCAGACATTCTGTCAAAATGTTATCCTCACTAAATCAAAACCTGCCCCATGGCTAAATTTGTTACAACTTTCTACAGGTGCCAGCCTTCACTGTTAGTGTTCAGTTCAAACGATAGTTTTTGTCAAATATTTATTTTCTGTATAGGCTAAACCCTCCACATTTAGTGCTTGACACAATACAATCTTCTTTGTCTTTGTTTAAAAGTTAATCTTCTAAATGACATTTACAATGATTATTCTGCTCAAGTAGGCAAATTGACAAAATGTTATTAAATTAGATATCAGAATCACATTCCCGTATATTACTTATTGCGTTGTCTATTTATGATTATTTTCAATGTTGCGATGTATATAAAAGGACGCTAGGTGTAATTTAATTTAATTCCGAGGCAAGTATTTGTACTCGAGTAAAATTGGACATGTTTCGCCTTCCACTCTCTTGAGATGTACACCACAGGAGTGACTCGTGGTTTGTTGTGTTTGTTTTACGGCATATCAACCACAATGGGCTATTTAATGCCGACAAAATTTCCTTTTTTTTTTTCAAAAACGTATAACTGGTAATATTTTATTTAAAAAATGTATAGTCTGGTTTGATTATTATTTTTTTTTTTTTGGCATATTAACATCAATGGGTTATTTAATACTGACAAGATTTTGATTTCTGGTGATATTTTCTGTTTTCAAAAATTTATTGCTGGTACTAATTTTTTTTAAAGTATTCCTTGTATTAAAATCTATATTTACACTTCCATAGAGTTTTGGAGTTTTGAGTCAGGTTGTGGGGATCAACAAGTTGCCCATAGTTGGGACCCTAACAGGTGCTACCACCACGGGTCAGGGTGAACTTGGGAACACCAGCAATTAAGAGGTGGTTCCACGCTCCTCAAAACCTTCTGATCAAAGTCCTTGCTGTTGGACGTAGTTTATCGTCTTAGGACGCGGATGCAGTTTATCGTCATACCCAGGACGCGGAGTGACTCGTGGCGGGCAACAGAGGAAGGTATATGTCTTCATGTTAGTGTGTTGGCGGTTTTGCTGTAGCAGCGGATTAATATCAAGATTTATTGAAGTTTGGTAAAATTTCTAGTGTAACGTTTGAGACGCCAAACGTGATTCATGGAAGGGCTAGAATATGTCCACGATGACGCAAGAAGCGTAGAGCCTCAAATACAAAAAAAAAAAAAAAAAAAATAGATGTAAATGATTGCTTGAGAGTGCCTAAAAAAGTTATTAGTATACACGAACGCTGATCTAACTATGATCCTTTGCACTGATTGAGTAACGCGAAGCTCCTGGTCAAGAAATCCCCCACAAAAATACGCTATTGATCTTTTTCAACAGACATTTGCCACCCCACTGTAATTTTTGGCTACTTCTAAAGTTGAAAATAGTACATTCACCCTTTGTCAGATGCGCATAGGCAATATATGACGTAGCAACGATGTTATTTTATTTTTTTTTTTTTCATGGAGTATTTTATCATTACAAGAAGTTGCTTTTAGGTTCGACTCTGTAGCTTTGTGCTCGTTAATGATAGAAATAGATTGAGGTATATTTTGAAATCATATATCAGCTGATAGCGAAGATTATCACCAATACCTACAATAACTCTTATACGGTAGTCTTATACTAGTAGAAGAAGAAGTACTAATCTCCTGTTGTGTAAAAATATTAATCTTTTATAGGGTCGGACAATGCAGACTTAAAATTATAGACCCTATTGATAAGATATAAAGTTAGACATGCCTAAAATTCCCATTAAAATTGTTACATTTTAATTGATTGATTTGTTTATTTAACGACATATCAACTCCTTATGGGTCACTTAATGCCAAAATTTAATTTTTCTTAGGAATTTTGAAAAAATAAAATTATGATATTTGTTATTCTGCTTTCACAATTGAATACATGGTATATAATACTTAGCTTTTGTACATATATATATGTTTGTATGGACATAATTACTGTAGGTGGTGATGTGTTTTTTTATGTTATAGTTTTTTTGAAGTTACATTTTGGTATACCGTTTTATTTCTTTAAGAAATTGTAGAATATTATATGGATTAATGTCATGAAGGAGTTCTTTTAAGTTGGTTGTTTGGTTTTTAGCGGATTATCAACCGTTATGGGTTATTTAATGCCAAAATCTAATTATTTTCAACTAAATATATTTTTGAATGTAATTGTATGCCTAAACCTACAGATAAAATACATTATTGGTTATTTTACTATAAATAGGTATTGTTGGTAATTTTTATTATAAATATATATATTTTATACATTCATAGTATAAAGTTTGGGCGTTGACTTTTTTCCCCATAGGTGAGACACTAGCCGGTTCTACCACCCACAGTCAGGGTGAACCTGAGAGCGACAGCATTTAAGAAGTGTTGAAAGGTTTAAGAAAAAACAGTGCATGTTATATGCCATCAAATCTTTCGTTTCATGGGCTCCCCCCAAACTTCCTATTCTTTGCAGCTTGACGCAATATTTCTACTTATGCAATCCTTACTAGTTACTGTTCTGCTATACATTTACACAAGTTTGTTAAATAAGTTCTTATCTGTTTCTATCTGTTCTTCCTGCGTCCTGTACGCTCTATGAGTGTCAGATTCTCTATTCCTTCCATCCTCTTTATGACTCTCGGAATTTTCAAAAATTCCATTCTCCTTCTAAATGCAACTGTCCTTTGCTTTCCAATTTCCTGTAAAACTTCTTCCTTGAAACATATCGAGTCAATTGTGTTTCCAGGAAGCTCCTGTAGAGAATTATGTCTCTTTGGCCCCAAGTCTCCTCTTTATCTGTGAGCAAATCTTCCAGCATTCACTACCATATAGCGAGATTCTATAATACACAGTAGTTTAGCACTACTTAAGAAATTATTTTATCTCTTAATAAATTGTTCAGCTTTTAAGAAAGCTATTGACTGCAGCAATGGTGACTCGTGCAATGAATACCCAATGTTTCCTTATAAGGAAACGGCTAAGATTACTATTTCCGTTACTATTCTAATGTGCTCCTGAATGTGTGTGTCATAATTTCGTCTGTGTTTTATCCACTTCTATAACATATATATATATATATATATATATATATATATATATATATATATATATATATATATATATCCTCAGCAGAATGCAGAAAGCAATAGACGGCCGTTTCATCATATTTGGGGCTCATCAGCAGTGCGCATCCACTACCGAGGCCCGTTGGTACAGTTGGTATATATATATATATATATATATATATATATATATATATATATATATATATAAGAAATGGACAAAAAGTCCGACAATTTATTTATTAAAGACATTTTTTTATGTTTAACGTTCTTTTTTTTTATAGATACAAGTATTTAAGTAAATGCTCTGTTTATAATAAACAGTATTAAATAACATTTACTGGCCTGAATGTCCGAGAAATTTTCATAGAACGAATATTTTCTATGAAAATTTCTCGGACATTCAGGCCGGTAAATGTTATTTAATACTGTTTATTATAAACAGAGCATTTACTTAAATACTTGTATCTATAAAAAAAAAAGAACGTTAAACATAAAAAAATGTCTTTAATATATATATATATATATATATATATATATATATATATATATATATATATATATATATATATATATATTTATGTGTGTGTGTATTTGTGTGTTGCATAAACTATTTGGGGATTACTTAAATAAAGTATTTTATTCACAATATTTTAACAATTCTATTTATTGAATTTGTTTTAAAGACCTATGTCTTCTCTTCGACTATGTTCTATCTGGAGAACTTCAGCAGTCACCACGTAAACACAATTAAGATGACGATAATAGTCAAGAAATATATCCAATGATTAATTTAAAGGAATAATTAATAAATAGTTTTCCTTCTACTACTAGACTCCCTGAACACAAAATCTGGAAAACATAATCTACTCTGGTATTTAATTAATAACTTGAATGAGGGCATTAGTGCGAAGTGAACATTAGAGCTTAGGTCAGAATTTGAACCCGGCTCGCCATGTCCATTTTATGCGCCTATAATCGTTAAGCTGGTCACACACCGAACTTGATGATGATAACTTAAAAATAGAAGAAATAATCATGATTAATCACAGAATTTCATTGTTAATTTCCCTTAAGTGTAATACAGTTTTTGTTTTGCTGTGGGATGGGTGGAAGAAAATTAATTTCAAGATGGAGGAATAAAGAGCAGTCACTCGCAAACCACCTTTCAAACGAGCTGATCTGATTTTAGCTTCCGCTCTGCCTCCGACAAACAAGTTAGAAGTAGCGGACGACAGAACAGCGGGATCGATTTTTCCCACGCCAAAAGACAGCAGCGTGTGTAGACGAGAGGAAGCAAAACGATATTGATATTACTTCGGCTCTCCTTTGTGTGCTGTTTTCCGTCTATCTGCGTTTCCTTCCACCTTTCATTCGTTTCAAACTTTTTTTTTTCTTTTTCTTTCCTATCTTCATCGGTTGTTCTTTTTGCCAACCAACACATTTCTGAGTTCCTCTCTCTAAAGTCTTCCACTACAAGCATATCAACATTTCTGATTTTCATTTTTTGTTTTTTTGTTTACTTTTCATTTTCCTTGATTTGTTACATTTAAATTCGGCTTCAATCACTGTGACCTTTCCTTAATGACGTAGATTCTTGCAATAGGCTCCTGCCCTGATGCAATACAGTGTTCCATAAAGTTATTGATTGACGCCAATTGATATATCCATATCCATGGATTCCTTTCTTGTATCTCAGTTAGCAATTCTTCACTCTTCACGAAAAAAAAACCTTCGGGATCAGACTTGAAGCAGCAAAGATTTGGTTCGGCAGAATTTTTTTTTTTGTGGTTGTTTTTTTTAATCATTTCATCCCAAGCAATGGGTAACGCCATTGGTACGCAGAGAAGACTGACTATAGGGAGCATTGAAGAAAAGAAAAAAGATGAACGGGATTCAAGAAGATAGAAGATGGCGGTTGACGTTTCATTTAAGTTTTTGAAGATTGTTATTATCAGGGAAGCAAGTAAACTGGAAATTGGTCACTCTATTCCCAATATTGAGTGCGTGGGTGGGGGGCTTTCTATCCTTTTATTTGAAGTCCTCTTAAACCGCAACATCTTGATTTTGTCACTATTGTCTTTTTCTTTTTAATCATTTCACCCCCAAACAAGGCGGGGATGCCACTAGCATGGCGGTGGTTACAGGGAGTGAAAGTCCGAGAATAGATTGTTTATAGGGAGAATTCAGGAAAGGACAAAAGATGAACAGGGTTCAAGAAAACAGAAGATGGCGATTGACATGGAATTTAATTTTTTGAAAATTGTAGTTCTCTGAGAAGCAAGTAAACCAAACGGAGTTCCACAGTCGTAAAGTGCGAGAAAAGAATCTATTGGAGTAGAACTAGCGGTTGCACTGAACTATTTCATCAGTAAACGGGTGGGACATAGATGTCAATCTAGTGGTACGGTTAAATTCATGAAGCCGGGGCACAACGAAAAAAAAAAAGAAGAAGAAGCTCGTCAGAACTGTTGCCCATGAAATTATTTATAGAAAAATCAGAGGTGGGGTATCCACTTCAGGTCGGCGTAAAAGTCGAGATGCTAAGCCCGTATCGATTACATTGCAGATTCTTCTTTGGATTTTTCCAAGAACCTCGAGATAAATAGCAGGAGCACCAGACAAGATATGACACCATTTGCCGTGAAAACTAAAACTAGAACATATAAGTAATAAAGTTGATTTAAGGAAAATAAAAAAAAAACAAAAACAAAAAGGACGCATATTTAGAACCAGAAAGAGACAGCTGAAAAATTTTGGGAAGCATAATGAGGAAAGTGGGCTTAGAGAATTTAACACTCACAGCACATTTTGAATGTAATATTGACAGAACAGAGATTAAGAAGGATAGGGAAAATACAACCAGTGATAAAAGCTGAAAATCATAGCTAGAAGTTGAGAGCCCTTGTTCCCCACGTGCGAAATGTACACGACAGATAAACAGCTTGGAAGACAAAATAAATATAATCTCGAATGCCAAATGAAAGTATCCCCAATATATGTTAACCTTTTTTCTTAAGTCACCCTCGGATCTTATTACTACCCACTTGCTGATTCAATTTTGGAGCCTATTTTGAAAACACCTTTTTTTTTCTATGTGATGTGTCCATTTAATACATGGGAGAGAATGGCTCTCCACAACGTGTAGCTCTCATCAAAGATTATCGCTTTTCCAAATCTCTCACCCTATCATCCACTATCAACCCACAAATGCTCATCAGGTAAATGCCACACCGTCTTCCGCTGTATCTTTGTTTGTTTTTTCTTTTCATATGTCCAGAGAGTGTTATATTCTTCAATACCTCCTCATTGTTTGGTTATTCAGAATTGAGATGAGGATGATCCTGGAAGAGAAACAAAATCCTCTACTAAGTATTCCAAGAAATTTTTCAAAAGCATAAAACATGATCTGGAAATTGAGTGAAATCTGTGATGGTCGATACCCTGAATTCGTGATGTGGTATTAATAAATAGAAAACAATTCAAACACTTCGTTGTGTGAATCAGTTAATATAAAAACGTAAGATAAGAGATAATGACATTGGAGATAGAACAGGCTGCGCTAGAAGAAATCACAACAAATTGCCAAAAGAAAGAAATACAAATTGCCAAAAAAATCAAAACATTAACCCGAAAACAAAAGTCAAATTCTGAAACAACCTTGCAAGACGGAGACGTTCATACGGACGGCTCTGTCAAACCTATAATTATCGAATGTGTCAGCTCTATTAAATTGCTTTTTAAGATCAATGGCGAAAAATGGCTTTGAGCGAGTGAAGCCAGTAGATCTTGCCGAAGACCGCACATCTTTTAATACTTTTAAATGTCCCTACAGAATAACAAAGAACAGTACCTGATAACAGAAAATATATTACTTGAATACTTTTCCACAGTAGCAACTACTAAAAATGTCATTCACATGTAACTCAAACAGAAAATAATGTCGGAATCAAGATGCTGACGTTCCACACTACTTCAAATAAAAGGTTAGGAAGGAAACCAATATTGAAAAGAGCCTTGAAAGCTGCTGAACTTGTTAAAACTATTTGGTTTGAAAAATTGATTTAGGATTATATAAATTTCATCCGATATGAAAAATGACTCATCTGTTAAGGACTGACGAATGTTTCATTAAAAGGAAACGATAGATATTACTATTATCATTGCTGGGCACATATTATGTAATTGTATGCATGTACGCATGCGCATATATGTAGGATTATTCAAACTTATAATGTAATATGTAATAATATATAATCACAGCTTATCTGAATATATGCAATGCATGCTTTGTTAAAAGCATGCACTGCATATATTCAAATTTTGCATATATTTTGGTACCCCCTAAATATTAAGACCCACACATTTATTTTGTTTCCTAGAGTAAGTAAAAGTTATCCATGCACACACATACGCACACACACACACACACACACACACACACACATATATATATATATATATATATATATATATATATATATATATATATATCGACTCTCCCGTCGAAATTGACGTATGAGGGTCAAACAGATCAGTTTCCAGGAAACCGACAGCCCGACATCGGCACATGAGATTTGATTATAGTGTTGAAGGCTTTGTGCAGGACCATCCACACTTTTGAAGGGATGAATACAGAGACCTGGTGCACTGAATGGCACAAGGTTCCCAAACGACCCTCCGCAGGTTTTGAATTCAGAGTTGTCCTTCTCCTAGACCAGTTGCCATCCAAGGCTAAAGAACCCAGTCTGTCCTGCTATTTTACCCATTAGGGGGCACGGTGGAGTAAGGATAGCGGCTTGGATTGAGGAATCGCAGAGCCGAGTTCGAACTCCAGTCGAATCCATTACATTCACTTACGTGCTAATACCCTTGGGGAAAGGCATGAATCCTCTTCCTCTCCCTCCAACTATATATATATATATATATATATATATATATATATATATATATATATATATATATATATATATATTGAACAATAAAAAAATATTAAAATCTTCACACACACTGGGTTGTAGATTAATATTCTTTCGTTTTTATTATTTCACTTAGATTGCTCGACTAGTTTCGGCCAACATGGCCATCATCGGAAAAAGAAATATCTCAGCTTGCTCGTAGCAGTGAACTACAGAAAATAATATATATATATATATATATATATATATATATATATATATAAAGACAGAGAGAGAGAAAGAAAGGAGGGGGAAAGAGTGAGACTGAGAGATATAGAAAGGGGATTAAAATCAGCTTACTTCAAACAGTTGAAATTTAGGGACAAAATATAAGTAAAGCGGACAAAGAAATGTTAATACACAGGGAACATATTAAAGGAAGGGAGCAGGGAGAATCACCTGTCAGTGTACCTAGGGTACACTGACAGCTGAGTACTTAGGGTGACTGAAAAAATAGAGTGAGGACGAAGAGAAATGAACCTCCGTCTGAAGAGACGGGTCAAAAATAAACAAATCACAAATAAATGTGAGAAATATTATTTCGAACCATGAAAAAGAATGTGTGTTTTCCTAAAAGTTAGTATTAGAAATGTGTGTATGTCTGTGTGTGTGCGTGTATGTGTGTGTGTGTGTGTGTGCGTGTGTGTGTGTGTGTGCGTACATAATTTCATCAGAGTAAGTGCTCTCTGATTTCGCATGTTCTTGATTCTGCGGTCTATTACGTGTGGAGCCTTATCGAAAGCGGGAGGAAGCAGCAGACCAAATGAACCAATAAACACGTTGAAAGCAAAAACGGACGACCAAACACCTGATCAGGTCATGTAGTCATTTCCGAGGACGCAGAGAGACTGTTCACAAGTTTCACTAAATCTCCTCCGCTGATTTTCAAAGGACACGATCGCATTTCGACAATTTCTTGAAAATATACTGATATTTTTAATATAGATATTTGTTATCAATTAACTTGCCCCTACACTATCTCCAGCACACCTATTCTCTCTCTCTTTCTTTCTATTTCTCTCTCTGTTGATATATATATATATATATATATATATATATATATACAGCGATAGATAGATAGAAAGAAAGAAAGAAAGAAAGAAAGAAAGAAAGAAAGAAAGAAAGAAAGAATATTATATATAAAAATA